AGACCAGTCAGGTTGACAAAATTTAAGAGCTTTTCACATGATTCGGGTATGCTTTGATTAATTGTGCACTTGGAACATAGTTTTTAAATCGTTGGGGATTGAGCTCCTCTACTTAATTTTTCCCAATTCGAGCACCGACTATAATTGATTGATAACTATTTTAAAATAAGAACTGATTAGATGGGAATGGATAAGATGGTGGTCGGTGTTGAATATGTGTGAATCTCGCCAAACAAGAAGGTTCTATGCACCGCCTACTTATGTGGTAACAAAGTAAATACTAAAAGTTTTGTAGATTTGTTGAGCCATTATTCAGTTAGAAATTATCTTCAAAGTTTCTTCTTCCGCTGTATTCCCAAGCCGCCTACCCATCAAATCATTATTGACAACGACATATAACTTGAAGTGGACTGACAAGTTGGAGAAATTTGGAAAAAGYGAGCAAAAGGTCTGTTGTATTGCACTAATGTATATATTATGTATATTATATGTTTAAAGAATAAAGGTTGAAAAAAGCATTACACAGGCCACCACATTCACTTTGCATTCTGCTCGATCGAAAAGTTTTACTTATACTCGTACATGGTAATGTAGAATAACTATCATTTATATTTTAAAATATTCTTGTTCATGATTGATAGCGACCACATTTTTTTTTTTATAAAATAGTTAATTCAACATCACGTATAAAGTACATATTTATCAATACTTTTTGACTTTAGACCATCAAGCAAATACACACATTAAATATCCTATCACTGTAGCATTCTGCAACATTGAAAAGTTGTTCCTAAACCATTACGTGGTAATGAAAAATAACTATAGCTTATATTTTTAAATATTAAGTTACAATTAACTTGTAAACAAGACGTGACATTTTTAAAAATTATTTTATACACATAAAAAAAATATATATATTTAACATCTTTTCTCAAGGATAATATTATTATATTCAATGTTTTTATTTTTTATTTTTTTGACCGCCAATCGATGAATTCGTCCATATCAGAATCATCAGATTCTTCGATTTTGTCAGGTTCATTTTCAATTTTCATGTTATTCATGTTTTCTGTAGCCGAAGCAATTTTTTCTCTCTTCTTCTCCAGTTCGATAACTCTATAATGTAAACAATATGATCAAATTAAAATACCAATAATTACTTGTATGTAAATTAATATTGAACACAAAAAATGTAACATGACGACGGATAATAATTTTTGTATAATACTAATTATGAATAACATCATTAGTTGTAAGCAMAAAATGACTAGCTTTGATATCTGTCCAGTTGTGAAGACAAGAACAACAAATTTGTGCTACACATGATCATTAAGAGTGCATATTATATTCAACTGTGGATTGCAGTTTTTGATAGTCAGATATGTAAGTAAAAATGATTAACAGAAAAATCAAAAAAMGATAATTCAATAATTATTCTTTAACATAGTAATATGTTGATCATTTCAACTAAAAATCATTAAATTGTTATTATTTCAGTAAATTCATACAGGTTAGTGCTTATGTTTGTGGGGGTACAACTTTAAATGGTTAAAACATTGTTACAAAAAGTTACAAAAAGTTACTACATTAAAAGCTAAAGCAAAATGTAAACATTTAGCATCGTTGAATATATTATCCAAATATAAGTAAAATATTAAAAGTAAATATACTAAAATAATTTTTGAAATCTGACAAGTAAGTAATTGTTAAAAATCATTATTAAAGTTGTTTAAAATAAAAAATATATGTATGAATAGGTAGGACCACAAAATTGTAAATATAATTTTATTAAACATTTCAAACATCATTTTATAAACAAAAATGTTTAATATTAAACTTTTGGAAATATTAATTTTAAATTTAACCAACTTTATTTTAGGAATTTATGTAAACAATGTTGTACACTACAGTAGAAATTTATTGGTCATAGTATCTTTCTTATTTKAGAGGATGTCAGGGCACTTTTAGTTCTCTCTCTAGCCTACGCTCACCAAAGACAAAACTGATTTATGCAGAACAATTTTTTATTGTTTTTGAATTATCTTAGAGTAAAATCAGTCACTATAGAGAATTATATTTTTGAGCGAAAGACAAATCAATTTGTCTAAATATTGTCTCRAACATTTTAAACATTGTTTAAATGAAACATACTTTGACCAATGTTTGATCTGTTCATCAATTTCTTCTACTTGTCTCCCATAAGTGGTTTCATCTTCATTATCTGCCATTATCTGTTCAGATAACATATTCTCTTCTTTCATTTCTTTTTGAAATCTTAGAAATTCTTCGTCTATTGAGCTGACGTATTCCTCTTTTCGAATCTAATAAAACATACAACACGCCATAATATTTTAACATTGACACATTTAAATATTTAAAACATTAATAATTAAATAATTTAAATAATTAATTAATGTAAACTCCACCTTAGCATCCAACATTGGATCATCAAAAAATCCTTTTGGTAGTTCACCTCTGTCAAGATTTAAATCATCAAGAGCCTCTGGTTGTTCATCCATTTTTTCATCAGTTTCTTGGCTAACATTTTTTGAGGTGTGTTGACCATCTGATGAGATTGGAGTTGGGCTTTCGAAGAAATCACTAGGAACTTTTTCTGGAAGTGCTTTATAATTTTTTAAAATACCTAGATAAATGCATTTAAAAAATATATATTTCATAATTCAAATCACATATTTTTCAATAAACATGTAGAATTTTTATTTACCTTTTAATTTTTTAGATGGAACAAGACTCTCTTGTTTAGGCAGAGTTCGTTTTAAGCTTTCCGTAGTAACCGCTAACCTTTCCGTCATTCTTGATGATTCTGGTTTACGTTTGGAAATGTTTTCCTTGTGAACCTTGGAAGAGATATGAACACTCCACAATGAATCATCTTTTATGTTCAATTTGCACACAACACATGACAATTGACCAGTTATGCTATATGTTTATGCCAATAATTAAGGATTTTAATTYTACAGAATTAAATGTCATCTTACAGAATACTAATATTTACAATTTATTATCAATGGTTATAATGAGGCAGTTATGTTTAAATATTAATTTGACAATAATAGACTTAATAACATTATAATCAAATTCAAAGAATTGAAGTATAAAAGAAATCAAATCAAAATGTCATAGTAAAACTTGAGAAACTAAAAATTGTTGTTTACCTAATCATGTAAGTTTAAAAAAATGCATTAAATCCTCAATACTAAACAATTAAATTTTACCAATTCTTTTCTCACAGCAGGTTTGTACCTACATCAGAAAAACAATATCTAAATTGACCTWTTGAAATAATTTTAAAACTATATTTGTCAGGTAATAATAGTATCCACACGATTTTATATGATTAATAATTATGTTGATATGGAATGAACCGAAGTCACACACTCATAATAAAGTGATATTTTAWGTCTATCAACTGTGTGATAAACACTGTATTMAATTGTTAAATTGCTACCTAACAGAATAATATTTCTAATATTGTGATAAATGTTGCAGACTAGGTAATCATATTATACAAAACTGCTTCCATAGTGTGCTGAAAAAATTTTGTTTCGATATCATTCGCCATAAGTAATATAGTACCTAKATAACATTAACATTGAACACGCAAAAAGCCATCACGATGTCAAATTTCTATCAAAAAATCAAAAGGATATTTTGCCAGAGGCGACTCAATTTTCTTCTTGACCCTTTGAGTCTGTAATTTTTGCTTGAGCATCAATAAACGCAATTCATTCTGGGACACTTGTTTCTTCTTCGCTGCACTCATCGACGCCATGTTTTGCACAACGGTTTTTAAAAAACTCGCAAATAAATTCAACGACTACAATACAATATTTCAAATGAATTAATATAAAAAATTACAATTTACTAGTGTAGACAATTTAAATTCAAATTTTGACCAACAAAAAGTACAAGTGAATGATCTATCATATACATAATATCTTATTAACATCAAATGTATTATCTTTTCGTTGATAGTAGCTGTTATCATACGTCAAAAATTGGCGCTTACCACTTTTTGATAACAAAAATATAACTTTAACCATGGTAAAGGGTTATACCGTTTTGATATTGAACTGGCAAATTATGAAACAACGGAATGTCGAAGGGGAAATAAGGGAATTTACATACTATTATTTTTATAGGCTAGGCCCGCTCTTAATATAGTATCTATCAGGATAATSTAATAATTTCATAAACGACGTGTTGCCACGGCTTTTATAGATAATATTATTATCAATTCTTATCACAATAATATGTAAATATTGTGATAAATATTAAACATTATTATATTTTAATTTTTAACCACATATTTTATTYGTACTACAGCACAATATTAATATCGACAAATTATCAATACTGAATTCAAGTAAATCGACAGCAATAGAAAGGCGCACTATGACTGTGCATTAGATTATTGGAATTTCGGTATTTATATTTTTTTTTTTCTGATTTTAATGTTTGTGAGCTGCTTCAAGAAAAATGTCGAGCATTTACGCAGAGAAGAAACCGAGTGATCGATCCAGGTAAGTTGATCGATCGATTTCGATCAGTGCTTCGTTTCCGTTTGGAAATTTGGCCGCAAACAATATTAACCAACTTTGTTACCATTACGATGAAGGTGGATATGCATATACCCAGCGTATTTGAATAACAAAAAAACGTTGGCCGAGGGACGTATTGTGCCGAAAAAATTTGCAGTGGAAAATCCCACTTACCAAGAGATCCTCGAAGTGGTCAAGGCGTCYGGTTTCAATGCCGAAGCCGAAAACAAGCAGTATTCYCGTGAATGTAGCAAGGAATGGCACTTCCGTGGTCGGATACGAGTACAACTTAAGAACGATGACGGAACACCTTTCAACCTAGCATTTCCTTCGAGTGAGTTGAAAAAAAAAAATTCAGAAGTAATAAATAAAGATTTTAAAATTAACAATGGAATTTCAGATAATCTCAATGTAATTATTTGAGTAGGTACACAATCACGACAAAACCTAATCAATTTAACTAAACACAATATTGAAATTTTAAATTATTTTCAAATGTTGTACTGAAAATCTAAACAAAAACATTTCAACAATGCCCATAGATTTTGTTTGTCAACTTAAATATWTGGAAAGAGAGTTCAAAGTWAAAACTGTTTYGAAGCATTAAACTACTTTGCCGGTTTTTACAAGACCGATATTACAAATTAAAATTCACTGGTAGCAGGGCTMGAAGGAAATTGTATGAATTTGTTAATATTATAATAATTGRCGGTTTTTATGAAGTGTTAAATTTCAAGTCTTCTGGCTGARTTCTATTTTTTTTCCACTTATAACTKTTTGTGATAAATTCAGTYCTTTGCAGCAGTCATTAATTCCAAACAACGAATAAGTGGCGAATAATTTTTAAAAGTMATAGAAAACACAGATAATATAATACCTTAAGTCAGCAGTTCCCAAACTTTTTTTATCCACATTACCCTACCGTGAATACCATAAAACATAGAACAAAAATATACTCATCAGCAACGCATTTTTGACAAAAAAAAAATTCTTTACATTAATTTTTTTATTTGAATTAAGCCTCGACAACTATGACCATTGGCGACAATGGGTTTAAATCTAAATTATTTACATGTTATATAAGTTACATATTAAATACTATTGATAAGGTTGGACTTAGTAATAAAGGTAATTATTTGTCTTATGTTGTCTGGGTGGAGGGCTTCTGACAGGATGTTTGAGATGCCTGCTTTGAGAGGCATTCAGTTAAGTTTACATTWGTTGTGAGCCATAGACAGCGGTGCCCGGTTTTGGAGTTAGATGGTTCTCCCTCAAGCATCTCATCTTTTCTCAATAACTCCAAATAAATGTATTACAATCATTCAAATATGGTATTAGGTAGTGATATGAGTGAATAATTATTTCTCATTTTTACGATAAATTGGTAGAAACTCTTCAAATATTGTTATCTGTAAATGTAATTGCAACCATAGCAATGCACTAAATTGCATTTCAGTGTGCATTAATCCTATGACTGCAAACCAAAAGCAATGTGTGTGACTATGATCTGTTTATCATTTTTTAATTTGCACAGTGTTGGACATTTTTTGCAATTTGTCTGGTCGTTGAATTTTTTCCTACAGCAATTAATGTATATACTCGAAAAATTGAATTGTAGACAATTTATTTGTCAAATTAAAATGTATGTCGGCGCACCATTTGTTTTCTTTCTCTCTCTGGCCCTCGTTCCAAGTAGACCAAACTCATCGACGCAGAACCATATTTTCTATGTTTTCAAGTGATCTTAGGGTACCATCGCCCATTACAAATGAGATGGAGAATAATATTTTCGAGGGAATGACACAACAATGATTTTGTCTAGTTAAACCTTACAGAAAGTTGATCAGCGCTTATTAGCTTGTGATGATACAACATTAAACGGTTGTTACAATAAGTCACTGCATTGAATGTTACAGCAAAATGTAATAACATTGTTAAACATATCATCCAAATATGAGTGAAAAAATAAATCAGACAAGTAATATTGATAAAAATTATTATTAAAGTTGTTGAGAACAAAAATATTTTATATAAATAAGTAGGTACCACTCAGACGTAAATACAATTTTTATGAACAGAAACATTTTAATGATCATTTTAGAAACAAAAATGTTTGATATTACACTTTTGGAAGGATTAATATTTTAAATTTTCAAACTTTATTTTAGGAATTTATGTATTGAGAGGATGTCAGTGCACTTATAGTTCTCACTTTCTGGCTTATGCTCAACAAAGACCAAAAAGGATTTACGCAGAACAATTTTTGTTTTTTTGTTTTTTGAATAATCTTAGAGTGAAATCAGCCATTATAAAATAGACATAGAATTATATTTTTGAGCAAAAGTCATATTAATTTGTCTAAATATTTTGCCCCTAAACAATTTAAACATCATTCAAACTCACAACATTTTTTTTTGTTTGTTCTGAAAGTCGAATACAAAATCAAATAACTATAAAACACGAAATCGATATTATAATGTCATTCCTCTTGTGATTTTACTCTCGAGATTACTGAAAAACATAAAAAATAAAAAACATGTCCTCCATAGATGCGTTTTACACTTTGGCCAGGGAGAGAAAACAAATAGTGTGGCGACATCCTCTTAGAAATTGCCCGTTAAAAATAAATTATTAAAACAACCAATTTGCTTGATCGTTAAAAATTGTGTTTCAGGAGAGAGTTTGATGAAACATTGTGGTGTGCAAATACCGAAACTAAAAAGTCGTGTCATGAAGGTAGCMGGACCCGAACAACAAACCAAGAATGAACCGAGTGGAAGCAAAAAGAAAAAAGGACGTAAATAGAGAACACCGCGCCAAGGAAATATGATTATATTTAAGCTCTTGATATATTTTATTTTGTCGTGAAAATTTATTATAATAAATACAATGTGTAACTTGGTGTTTTATCATTTTTATTTTTATTTTTTATATATTCTATTAATAATGTATTTAATTACAACAGACATTTAGGTAAATGTAAAAAAAAAAAAATCATTTAAACAATAAAGGTATATTTAGAGTTCAATATTTTACTATCGTCGAAATCAAACGCTAAACTACAAATTATCCAAGTAAGGTGTGTTTGCTACATTACCGTATGCAGCCAACGACAGCTTGCCACCTGCTATTTTGGCGGCTGCTTTCTTCACACCCTCGACGGTGACGGCTTCGACAGACGCGATCAACTTTTCAAACGGCATRACTTGTCCGGTGGTGGCGGCTTGGTAAGTAATGTTCTCGTGGACGCTGGCGCTGGACTCTGACGCAGACACGAGCGACAGGATCAATTGTCTCTTGGCCCTGTTCACTTCGGTGTCGTTAACCGTGGGCGACCTCAGACTCTGCACGGCAGGCTTCAACACGGTGGCGACGTCTTTGCCGTTGTACGCCAACAGGAAACCAAACAGACCGGAATCGGAATAGTTGTAGTTCACGGCGGACACTGCGAAATTGTCGGAACAGTTTGATTTTAGGACGCTCTGTTCCAATACTCCCTGTCCGACTCCCCATTTCACCGACGATCCCTTGCCCAGCACGTACTGGAGTACGGCATAGGCGGCGCTCTGCGGATCACTGTAGCCGACTCCCTCGCCGACGACGGCCAAATACGTCACGTCCAACGGCTTTGACTTTCTCAGGTCGCCGCCGAAGTACTTTGACTTGGCCGATCCGTTGGCGTCCCCGTTGGGCAGGCTCAGGTCTTCCGAGACGTGCACCAGCGTGTCCATGTCGACGCCGACGCCGGATATGACGGCGTTCTGGCCGTTGAAGTTCTTCTTGACGTAGTACAGCAGGTGTTCCGTGCCGAGTTTCTTGACGTTGTACTTGGGCAGGAACACGGTGTTGCCCAGGCCGTGCCTGTACGCCGCCTTGTGCGCCATATCCAAGACCCTCTGCTCGGGCGACAGGCTGAGCAGTTCGTACTGGACGCGCTTCACGTTGTCGGACAGCTCCCACGGCTTGAACGTCTGGTTCGAGATGGACTCGATGTAGTACTTGAGCCCGCTGACCAGGTTGTCCTTGTGCGCTTCGATCGTGTACGTGATCGTCTCCCGGTCGGACGTGGCGTAATAGTTGGCGCCCAAGTGGCCCAGGTTGCGGACGATCGAGAACGTGGACGACGATTCGGTGCTCAGACCGGCCGAGCTGCGCACCAGGTGTGAGATTCCCGAGTTTTCCGGCTCTTCGTACCGCGATCCGGCCAAGAAGGTCACCGACACCCGTCCGATCTTGGTCGGGTAGTCGGGAACGGCCACGACCAGCGAGTTGTTGGCCAATTTTTTCGTCTGCACCTGCGGGCCTTTGACGGACAGCGCCGCGGCCGCCTTGCTGGCGTAACACCGTTTGGCGATGTTGTTCATCAMGGGCGTTTTCAGCGTGGACATGGACATCTTTTTACGCGGACCGATTAACAACAACAATAATTATTGTCGTCGGCGAACAGTAGTTTGATCTTGAGCAAGAATGCGCGATTCACACTCGAGTACGAGCAAAGTGATCGCGTTAGGGCAAACGGGTAGCGAACGAAAATCTATGATTGAAAAACAGCTGCAGTGATAACAGACAGACCGTTTGTCTCTATACTCTTTGGAATATTTTTACGAAAAATACACGTTATCGCAGCACCAGCGTTATCAAAGTATATCGTTTGGTAGAGTTGACGCCGTTGACGGGTGGTCGGTTTGTAGCATAGACATATAAATATATTTATACGACGGACGTCCGAAAACAAAGTGAACTCGTTCGTCGGTCGCGTCGTGGAGGTAGTACACAATATTGAACCAAAGAGGGGCGCGCTGATACCGCGGTTACAATCGTCGTTGTTGTAGATCTCCACAATGAGAGTTACCGATAGTTAGGGTTTTAATGATCTCAAGTGGAACAGTGGAACTGCAACAGTGGAATTTGTTGTTTCCGTTTTACCAGTGCGTATAATATAGCAAATTTACGCACAGCAGAACACTTGTTGCTCCTTTAGTTTAAAATTTACAGTGAATCGACCTGTCATGAAACTAGATGGTAAGAACACTATATCTGTGTTTGTACGTTGTTTTTTTACGATAATTCCACTTTTAAGTAAATATTATGAGCACATATAATATACAGTAAATTAAAAATGCTCATAACTCACTTAAAAATTGAATTATCGTAAAAAACCAACGTACAAACACAGATAGTGTTCTTACCATCAAGTTTCATCATAGGTCGATTCACTGTAATTTTTAAACTAAAGGAGCTACAAGTGTTCTGCTGAGCGCAAATTTGTTATATTATTATACGCTCTGGTAAGACGGAGAGTCGGAGAAACAAATACCACTGTTGCGAACTCTTAATAAGAGACTCAATTGTGTATCCGAATTTCATAAGTACGACGAAGCTGAGGACGGGGGTAGATTGTATAGAATAATATGTTATTCAGTACACTGAGACTAGATTCATTCAAAGTCTCCGCCATCGCAGTCATCACGTAGGTAAACTTTTCAGTTAACATCACCTAAAACTGCAGCGTCGTACTGTATTAGACGATTGAATTTAGTTATTCGACATTGTATCGTCCCGTGTAATGTGTATAGTTATGACATTATTATTATTTATTATTGGTGTAATACAAAAGTCACAGACTTGATTATAATATAATATTTTACATTATAAATTGTCAGACTCCCCGATGAATTTAATTGCCAGTATTGCCGCGTATGACACGTCCGGCACGTGTCCTTATTAAGAGGACCCGCATGTGTTGTCTCCGTCTTACACGCGTACTACATAGCAAATTTTCGTTCGCTAGATTCAATAGTGTGCTGTTAGTTTTGATATTAGAGCGAATTGACCTATTATCAAACTTTTACGTAAGAACATTATATGTGTTCTCGTGTTGGTTTTTTACGATATTTTAATTTTTAAATGAGTTATGAGCATGTTAAGTGTGAATATTTGAAAATTCACATAACTCATTTAAAAATTAAAATATCGTAAAAAACCAACACGAGAACACATATAATGTTCTTACGTAAAAGTTTGATAATAGGTCAATTCGCTCTAATATCAAAACTAACAGCACACTATTGAATCTAGCGAACGAAAATTTGCTATGTAGGTAGTACGCGTGTAAGACGGAGACAACACATGCTGGTGTAGCGTCCTCTTAATGATGTGGCCCAGAAAAGTTTAAGTGCAGTCGACAGCGAAAACACACTTTACGGGGTGAATAGCTACACCGTAATCCTGACAACGTCCGTGCGGATGTGTTGTTCGTGTTCGTCGCGATTGCACGTCGTCGATGTATATAGGCAAAGGAAACATAATATCGTCGATTACGCGTTAGAACTTCCGGGCGGCGTTGCGCCAGCCAAAGCACACAACAGGAAACTCAAATGAGCCGAACGGTGTCGTTACGGCCGTCTCCGGTATGTCCTGCTAGCGGCAATAAAATATTGGTATTTGATGGTATTATATGCTCGGACCAAATCGAGCTTGGTGAACACCGTGTGCTTCGTGCCCCAAATTCGCGGTAAAGTCGTGGAGGTGACTGGTGAGGTAACGGGTAACGATCAGCTCTCGTTACTTTGTTTAGGCGCCGGTAATCTCCACGTGGTCGGAAATTACCGTCTTTTTTTGGTACGAGTAGCAGTGGACAATAGCCAAAGCGCTGCAGGCAGACGATCGGCAAATACCTTTTTAACGTATATTATAATCAAACTCTTTACGCGCGATGATGTGTCGATCCGGAAGTAGGCGGCGCGGACGAGAAAATAACGGCGACCCGGTCGTGTTCAATTTTATATGTAAAAACTTGTCCGGGACCGGTGACTCGTGGGCAAACTTTTCAATATTTCTGTTCAATTTTGTGGTAAAGATACGACTTTACGGCATACCTACGACGGAGATTGCTCTTACGAATTTGTTTGTGCCGCTCTTCGACCTGCAGCAGACCAAAATAATGATGTAGAAAATCTGCGACGATTATCGGTCAAACTACGTCTGCGATCTCTAACGTCCAAACAAATTGGCTTGTGAGGTTGAGGTTTGGGTGCCGTTCGCAGCGTTCATCAACACTATGTCCGGTGAGCGGCATGGGCCGTTTCCCGGTGGTATGACGGAGATTTCCGCTCCAGAGTCGACGAGAAAGCGTTCGCCGGAACGGAGATCGGTGACGAACAGTCTGTACGGGTGCGATGAGCGGCGGGAGGCGAGTCGGCTTCCAACAAAGTAATCAAATGGAAGCTTTCTCTCTATACATCCACATTATTATTGTAAATCAAACATGGACGAGAAATCCAACTTGGAAATTGAGCAGCTTCCAAGATACAAGTTCAAAATTATTTAACGTCAGTAGATAGCGTTGCTGTTATCGAAATAATTTAAATCTAAATATTAATAGCAGTATTAGAAGCCAGCGCCGTTTGAGGCGTTAGGTTAGATTGAACCTCACTAAACCTAACCAAACAGCCCTTGGATCGCGATGAATGAATGTTGATTTAATATAAAACTAGTATAATCAAGTGAAATAATCCTTCTATAGATTACCTACATATTTTACCAATGATTTAAGATTTAAAATACAATGTAAATAACAGACAATTAATATTTCCTCATTATTTGCAAATAAATTAAAGTTTTCTAAAACATTGGTTATGGTAGGTTGTTGTGAATAGGCAAAAGTCAAAAATTAAGTTTTAAATTTTAAGGTTAATTTACGTTAAAAACAATGTCGGTAAATTTATCAATATATTGGTAAAAATGGTAAAATTGCTAAATCTTAGAGACATCGTTATCAATTTGTATTATTATATATGATTGTGATTCTATTGTTGTGTACTATAATTGTCAAATTTAACAATATACAGAACTAAAAATGTATGTATTCTGTATCAGAGCATACTATTGAATATTTAGGTATTAGTATAATTAATTCCTTTTGCGGTTTACCTACTTTGTTAATTTAATATGATAAAAGCAAAACAAACATGATTATTTTATAACAAAACATTTTCTTTACAGCTGAGTTATACAATAGTTACAACATTATATAAGTATGGAAAAATAATAGTCAAGTTAAGATTATGTTGATGAGAAAGATCTCTTTACAAATCGGGAAACACATTTTTGATAGAAATTGATTAGAATGGTCACACAACATTTTTTTTGGTAAAAAAATTGGTATAATGTATGTACAATTTTCTACCCGGTAAGAATTTACCACACACATCTCTATTAATAGTGCTTTTAAATTACAAATTTAAACTTTCGGTTGTTTCAATTACTCTATGCCTCTATACAACTTTTACTCACAATACGGCTTCTGAAGTTGAAACAGAATCAAATGAATTAATAGTAACAGAATCTGTCTTAAAAATGACACACGCCCTTTTGAACAAAAAATAAGTAGATAGTTATCGACAAATTCCTAACAAAGTAACAACATATCAAATTCAAAGCCTAAACCTTAACATTTTTACTAAAATTGTAAATATTCTTTATCAAAAGCTTCTATTTTATTATACATTCCACATATATGTATTATAATACAATAATTAATATTCCACATGATGATATGCGTAATTATCAATTAACCATTATTTTTGTTTTTATGACGTTATGTCAATAYATCATAATTATTCATTATATTGTACTTTACACGGTATAGTAATTATATACATTATACATTATGTGCACATATTTACATTACCTATATATATTTGCAAGTATAGAATTCCATTCTTCGTGCGCCTACGCCCATGACCGAGTTCGAAATTATAGTAATAAATGACGTGACGATTATACGATATTATGATTATATTTAGAACGATTATACGAACGAGATACGTATAATATAATTTAATGTCAGATATTGTAATGCACTATGTACCTATATATACGAATATAAGATATAAAATTATTATTGTTTTTGTAAGCACGCGCATGGGTACGACTAATTAGAGTTTCAAAAGGTCGACTGAATGATATACCTACCGCGATAATTAATAATAATGAACGATAATGATAAAACATTATGTATATTAGTGCGACAGAGGTGGTAAGAGGGCTATATTATATAAGAAGTCTTCTAGTAAACGATATCACATCGATGACTGCGGACGGCAGGAATCGTGCAGCGCAACCTATAAACTCATCGTCGTAATATACCGCGGTACCGTATACACGATATATATGGTAACGTACCGCGCATACCGTATACCGGAGACATAACATTATGGTAACATTGTCGAACGTCTACCACCGCCGCCGAAACGATAGCACAGCCTTGGCCGCGATGTGTCGGGCGGTCGTCGCCGTGGCCTGTTGTTTATCGCTGGCGGCCGGCCCGTGGACGCCGGTGGACGGCATAAGGGTGTTGGCCGTGGAAACGATAGCGGGCAAGAGCCACTGGAACTTTATGCGGGCCGTGCTCCGGGCGCTCACCGACGCCGGGCACACCGTCACCGTGTTCACGCCGTTCCTGGACGGCGACCGGGACAACTACACGGAGGTGGACACGTCCGCGGCGTTCCGCATGAAGCTGGACGTGGACCTGTCCGAGGTGCTGGACAAGTTCGTCGAGCCGGCGTCCATACTGCCGCTGATCGTCACCATCAGCCGGTCGCTGTGCGACGCCATATTCGAGGACGATCGCATGAAAGACGCGATGCGGCCGCGGGCCGACCGCGGTGGTTACGACGTGGTCATCGTCGAACCTATGGGCTCGGAGTGCGTCTCGCACGCGGCCACCGTGCTGGGACTGCCGCTGGTGTTCGTCGTCCCGTCGCCGATGATCAGCTACTACGAGGGCCAGTTTCTGGGACACGTGCCGAACCCGGCCGTCGTGTCCCACGTGATGGCCGACCACGCGGTGCCCCGTACGTTCGTCCAGCGCTTTCGCAACGCCGTCCTGTTGGCGTACAGCGTGTTCGCCGTCCGGTACAAGGAGTGGTCGTTGAAGCGGGCAGACGCGCCAAAACCGTACGACACTGTGGCGCCAGTCCGCCCGTCCGCGGTGTTCGTCAACAGCCACTACGCCACCGAAGCCTCCAGGCCTGTACCGCCAAACTTCGTGCACGTCGGCGGACTGCATTTGGATAAGCCAAAAAGCTTGCCAACCGTACGTGAAACTGCACATATAATATTGATAATAAATACATTTTATGCATTTGMGTGTTTTAAATAAAAAAGCGTTCGGGATGAAGAGCTATATATATGTAGAACCGGAAATGCACTGGACGGTGATGTGTTTAGTCCTTTTTTGTGCGTGTTAGAAGTGTTAGTAATGTGCCCAAGTAGGTATACCTTAGATTTGAATGATCGGAATTTTTACCTCTATTGATCAAAATCGACCGAAACACGACGAGTCGGCAAAAATATTTTATACATTAAAACCTCTCAATAACGGGCCCTCTATTAAACGGATTCCTCCTTGTAACGGAAAATGTCAACATTCCTGGTGCAAATTATATATGCAACTTCTTCCTCTCTATGACGAAAAAATGTTTGGTCTCAACTCTCAAGCGATTCCGTTAAACAGAGAGGTTTTGCTCTGTATATGAAATCTAATGAAAATACATATTATATAGGATCGTCAATTTAAAATCCAATAATTCAGTAAATGAAATTAAAACTCAACTCGCCTTAATTTAATCGGTTTTGATTTTAGATCAGCTCGTGTTTAAAAAGATCAAACAATTTTGTTGAAAAAACGCATGTCGCATGTTACATTCGATGCATTTTGATTTTCAAATTCATTGGACAAAAATATTTCGTACTATACACATAATATAGATCTTAATATAATATTAACAAAAAATAAAACAGGCTGCAAAATGGGGCTTGTTTGGCCCTAGTTAAAGCCACGATAAAGCGCATTGCAAACGCCGTGGCGAGAGACTTAAACAATCGAAGTTTTATTGCGGATTTAAGTAAGCCGTAGAGTACAGGGTGCGGCACGGAGATCTGAAAAACAAAATGACTTGTTCCAATAAATAGTATAAAAATATATTTTATAAATATAATTCATAGACACTTGCTATATTTTTAATTTTTATAATACTGAAAATGTAAAACATAACATTAATTTCAAAAATTATAAATTTTAGGTGATTAAAAATTTTCATATAAAATATTTAAAAAAATTTAAATTTTTTGAAATACCAACGTTTTTAACATAAACTAGATTGTAGTTTACTTAACGAGAATATATTGATATTTAAAAAAATTGTAAAGAATGAGCCATTTGACTAAGTAAACTTCTTTACCATATTTTTTTTTAAAATAAAATTTACAAATTGGCTATATTGAATTTTTTGGAAATTGTTTTTATCAATTTTTAAGTTTATTATTGCTAGTATCAAAAGTAAAAAATTGAAAAATTTGTACCAAAAATATAGCTCAAATTACTTCTTATCTCATTTATCAGATATCCGTAGTATATTATACATCCAATGGTCCATGTCGCCGTGGGTTTCCCTAATAAATAAAAATAAAAATGAATAAAAATATTATTACTGTTTAGTATTTAATACTATTTATCACCTATATATTATATATAGGTACGCATTTTCGGCGCAAGTGAATTAAATCAATCTACGATTTAAATTGTATTATATCTATCATGCAAGAGGATTGGAAAGTATTCTATTGGATTCCATAAATCAAAAATAAATAAGGTTCAGAAAAAAAAATTTGTTGACAAACAATTTGTACTTTTATAGTAGTTCTCGTATAAATATTGAATATTACCTATATTATACTATAAAAAGGTCCTATAGTAAACAGTACGTTGTAGATATTTTAGTAATGATTTTTTTTTTTAATATTATTATTAAGAGGATGTCAGCGCACTATTTGTTTTCTCTGTCTGGCTCACTCGTAACATAGACAAAACGCATATACGCAGAATCWTTTTTTCTATRTSTTGAAGTAATTTTAGAGTAAAACCTCCCATTACAAAGAAGATAGAAAATAATATTTTTGAGGAAATGACATATCGATTTGTCTAAATATTGTCTCTAAATAATTTAAACATTATTTAAATGTACAGTTTTTTTGTTTATTTTGAAAGTCGAATACAAAGTCAAATATCAATAAAATATAAAATCAATATGTCATTTCCTCAAAAATATTATCCTTTATCTTTTTTGTAATGGAAAGTTTTACTCTAAAATTACTTAAAGACATAGAAAAAATGATTCTTCGTAAATGCGTTTTGTGTATGTTACGCGTGGGTCAGAGAGAGAAAACAAATAGTGCGCTGACATCCTCTTAATCATCAACCCGGAAACTATATATGGCCATTAAATGTTTGTAGGGGAACGGTTGTTTTGGATAATGTATAATGTATATGTGTGCAAGTATTTTGTTGCTATAAAAATTTCGGTTGATCATCTATCCACATGGGTGGCTCGAAGGGGGAGGGGCTAAGGACCGAGGTCCCTTTCCAAGCCCAAACTTAAAAGAAATGTTCATTGAAAAAAAATTACAAACAAAAAAATCATATTATAATATCGACTATTATACGACACGCAAAAGTATGTAGATAGAGCCATATAGGAGCGTGACGTAATATTATACGATGTACCAGTTATCTGTATTATGAAGAACCTATAAAAAAAATATTCTACCATCATATTATTATTTTTTACTTATATATATATATTATGTTCAAAACATGAAAATTACGTAGCACACATTTCTGTACGGACTATATACGAGAATACTAAAAATATGTTTTCGTGATAAGAATTGTCATAATATTATTCTATAAAATATAATCTTTTTGTTATAAAGTTTTGTGAAATTTTAACTTGGCCTCTGGAGCCACGGTGCTCGACCAGAATTTTGTTACTAAAAATCCTGGTCGGTCACCCATCCAGGAGCTAGCAACGCCGGCGGGTTTAATTGATTTAATAATTAAAATATTTCACAATTTTACAATATATTATTTAAACCACCATCAATCATATAACACATTTTATAAAATAATCAAACATTTATTAGTATAATTTAATGCACCACAACACCTAAATTATGATTGTTGATAACTATAATTGCAATACGTTCTTTATTATACATTATATCATTATTGTTATCACTTTTTACTCACATTTTTTTTCAGGATATTTTAAAATTCATTGACGAGTCACCCAATGGGGTGATTTACTTTACTTTTGGTTCAGTGGTGAAAATGTCTACGATGCCGGATTACATTCAAAAATCATTTAAAGAAGCACTGGCTCAAGTACCTCAAAGAGTTTTATGGAAATATGAAGGTCAAATGGATGACATACCACCAAACGTGATGATACAAAAATGGTTTCCTCAACGTGACATACTTTGTACGATTTTCCGATCAACACTCATATGGTTATAATAATATTGATGAGAACTGTAAAAGCGTTATTCTATTATTTTCCTGATATAGTGCACCCCAAAGTTAAATTGTTCATCAGCCACGGAGGTATATCCGGAGTTTATGAAACCGTGGACGCTGGCGTACCGGTTCTTGGATTTCCGTTGTTTTATGATCAACACAGAAATATTGCAAATTTGGTTGATGCTGGAATGGCGATTTCTATGGAACTGTTATCGGTGTCCACAGACATGGTTTTAAATTCTATTTTGGAACTCATTAACGACGAAAAGTAAATAATTTAAATATTATTATGATATATATTATAATCAGAAATTGTCGGATCACTTTTTCACCAATACCTACATTATAAATTATAATAATAGCATAAAAGCTGGACACCAACAATAACTTTCAAACTTATAACGAATTGAATTGAACACAAAAAAATATCATAATCTAACTCGTTAGAAAAAAAAACCTAACTAGTTAGTTGTTATTATTATTACTTATTTTTTTTCATTCCAAAATTCTAAAATCTCAAAAACTGTTTGATAAACGTGACATCATGGCTATTTGGCTAGTTAGATAACTGTTATTTACATTTGAACAAAAAAGTATTTTAATCCATAAAAAAAATTAACTTCTCTTCTAATCTAACTCAAGTTACTATTTTCAACAAACTGTTAACTAAGTTAGAAATTCGGATATCTAATATTTCTGCAACACTTGGTTAGTTTTTGTTTTATTAAAGTAAACTTTAACTAGTTGATAAAAAAGACTAACATTCCCAGCTTTGCCTATATATTATATTCCTAATTTGTGATATTGTATTAATATTATATGTATTGATCTATAACGCAGCATACTTACGTATAATTTTCTAGATACTCGATAAATKCTAAAATCACTTCTGAACGATTTAAGGACCGGCCACTGTCACCAGAAAAATTAATAGTTTACTGGACGGAGTATATACACCGTCACAATGGAGCGCCACACTTGAAATCACAAGCTCTTAATCTAACGTGGTATCAGTACTTTCTCTTGGACGTGATTGCTGCTATATTAATTTTAACTTTAATAATTTCATTCGTATGCTATACCATTATTAAAATTATTTATAAGTACGGTCTGAAACATTTATACAATTCCAAACCAAAATCTGAGAAATTGTCTTAGCCTTTTATTAATTTTACGTCCACGCGTTTACTTGGAACCACACAAAAAAGTTGAATATTTATACATCTACTGAAATTTATCGTGTAGTGTTATAAACTATTGATGAAAAGAATATTATGAATTTAAAAAATGCAATTTACTATAATATTGTTAAATGTATAACGCACAAACTATCATAAACTTATTTTAACATTACCTAAATACATTTTATTTGAAAAAAAGTTATATAAAGCATTATAATTATTAAAATATTGTAATATACGGCCTTTGCTCAATAAATTGTTTTGGATTTTGATTGATAATATACCTAATGCTAATATAATAATATCGATTTCATTATTAATAACATCGATAATAATTCCATTATATTCATTACTAAGTTATTTATAAATAAAAGTAACTTGGATTTGTTTAAAATCAATTCGTAATTTATTTTTTGTCAATATACATATCGAAACCTTGTTTTAAAATGTCACTCCCCAGCTATGAAAGCTGAATGGTTTATACATTTCAAAAACTAAATAACTTCTAAATTTTCAATATAATAAATGTTGTCAAAATGTGAACTATTAATAGTTATAAAAAAAAAAAACGTGCATATGTATTTATTTTCTAACTTCTATTATTCACCTTATGCCTTGAACCTTGAACTAAATTTCCAAACTTTTTGACCCAAAGAATAAAACATAATTGACTTAATAGAATTAAAAACCAAATAAAACAGAAAATTTCAAATGTCTATAAAAAAATACATCTTAAAAAAGTTTTAATTATTTTGAAAATGTATACAAATATAAATGAAAGCCATGTGATACTTACAACAAAACATTAACAATTGAGCACATTGGCATCATCAGCCTCAAATACACCGAACCACACAAGATACTTAAAATCCTGTTTCACTATCCACCTGCAAGCATTTAAAGATGATACATTAATAATACAGCTGCAATCAGTACATTTTAATAATAATAAATTTGTAAAATTTAAAACAAAATGACGTAATGTATATATACCTACAACCTACCTATATGTTTTTTTCTTGTTTAACTTTTGATCAAATGTAAGCTAAAAACCTTTGTTGTTGTAGTGTAAATAAGCTTTAAAAAAAAATTCTATTTAGATAATTATACATTTTATTTTTATAAGGATTTTAATCTTTTATTGCCAGTTACATTTGAGTTATAAAAAATTAAGTTTAATTTATTTATCCGAGACATGTTAAAACTCTGATCTATTACCATAATCAACGATAAATCTTCAGAGTTTTAGGTCGAAATTAAAGTGGAATTACATTCAGCAGCATGGTGATCAGAAATGAATTTAATAGAATTATATTTTGTAATACTAACGCAGTAACGTTGAATTTCTTTCCTGTAAAATTACGTTGAAGCCTGTTATTAAAAGTAAAATAAATCTGCTATTATAAATAATATATAAAAAGTAAATAATAGATTACCCTTTATCAATATCCTTCAAGTATCAATATGATCACATTCCTTTGGTATATTAATGTTGAGGCCCAATTTCTTATGATGATTTTTCAAATTGGGCCCAGAGATATTCGAGAACTAACTCTACGTTGAGCTATAAAATAATATCCAATTGAATATAACCAGATTCATTATGTAACCGACCGTCAGTCATTCTTAGTATATTCAATATAATATTATAAGTATAACTAAGTATAAAATATAAGCAGTGTTCGGAAYGTACACTAAAAAAATGAATTCGTGCATGTTCAGTTCTTAAAAAAGGAATAGTTTATCGGCAGTTTATATAAAAAGCCAATTACATATAGGACAACCGAAAAAAAAAACACAATTTAGACTTTAGAGTATATATATTTTCTAAAGTATCTAAACTATATGTATTTATTTATTAAATAGTAAATAAATTGAGCGCCTTAAAAATCGCTTAAAATAATTAAAAGTATAAACGTCGTGAACGTTTTATTTCAAAAAAAAAAAAGTGGCGTTCGCGTATCGTTGACTTACTATGAACATAAATGTGTTCGTCAACGATGAAGTTTTTTTTCTAAACACTGAAACATGGTAATTTTAACGACATTAAATTATTTCAATGAAAATATACTCTAGAAATTATTAAGTACTAACGAATAATATTAATAGAAATTACAACAATAGAACTTACTAAAATTGTTGTTCTTGGTTAACTAATAGGAAATTTCATTTAAATTTTAACTTAAAACAACTGTAAAAATAAAAACCGTGTATAGTTGTTAAATTTTGTTGTTGCAGAATTAAGTATTGACTACTTACGTGAAACCTTGTTTTAATTTTCAATTCCAAACTATGAGAAGATGAATATCCTATAAATTTTAAACATCAAAATAATTTATATAAATTTTCAATATCCAGCGTGACTGTATTGAAGCAAAGCCAAGTAAAAAAAAGCAAAGCGGGCACGACCCTATGGTACACCACACAATCCAGAATTTGCCCATTGAATGTGTGTAAATTTGTCCATTTTCTTTAGTCAGTTTTTGATTAGGCCATGCATGATGTGCATTTTATAAATTAATAATGAAGACCTTTTTACAAAATAAATTAAGTAACATTTGTAATGAAAAGTTATTTAATAATTTAGTTACAAACGGATATGATTTTTTGTATAGAAATAATTTCAAACAATATAAACTAATAATTGAGATAGAATTAATTTTAAATTTAATTTAACATCTTTATGAGGCCTAAGTCTTGTAAATTACTAGTTTTTTGTTTTAAACTTGGTAATTTTTTACACGGATTTCGACGAAGAGTTTTTGTTGGGACGATAAATATCTTTAAATTTGAATTATTTACAGTTTTGATATAATACCTAAATGTATGTAAAATTACATATTTGAGTGTTTTTACTCAAAGGATAAAATTGTATTGATAAAAGTATATAACATAATAAATGGAACATTTCAAATATCTATAAMATATCTTTAAAAGGTCCGGAATATTTTGAAAATTTAATCAAACATAGAAAAAGCCAATATAATCTTTCAGTGAAAATTTCATGTATCCGAAATAATTTGTTAAGAGTTAACACCTATGGCAAAAATAATATTTTCTTTCCTTGGTATTCCGACACTTGAAAACTATACTGAGAATTAATTTCTAAGCATTATATTGACAAACGAAAAACACACATTACAGTGAAACAATATATTGTTTCAATCAGAATTTAATGTAACTAAAAAAGTTAAAAACGGAAAATTTTCGAGAAGAACATAGTATGGACAAGTTAATCGAGTGATTGCAAACCAAGTGTAAAACAGTCGGAAGGAATTATCAAGAAACGAAACATTATAAGACTTTCACACAAATGAGCATCCATATATATTTATATTCGAAAAGATTTGTATGTCATTCAACGGCTTTGACGCCACCGAATAATCGGATTCGGGTGCGGACCGAAGGCATTGATGGACCGTAATAGCTGCACACCAAGCGGGCGCCCATCGGACGTGCGCTGGGCGGAACTCGAAAGTCACTGGATCTATGCCATCTGCAAACTAGGTCCGTCGTACCAGTACAGCCGACCACTTCGTCAGAACATAATTCCGAAGAATTTTTACGAATATACAATCTTTTATTGAATTTACAAAATGAATGCACAAAGTGGTAAAGTAGGAATAATTGACAAATAAAAATATTTAAAAAAAGTTCAAATGGATAATTGTTTGAGAAACAAAATATGGGGAAGTTATTCGAGTAATTGTAAAATATATTATATATTAAAGAAGGTAAAATTGAAAATATGGGAAAAATCAAAAAACACCATCAATATGAATATGCGTGACATAGGTATTATGAATGTTTGAATCCTATTATCCAAGTCCTAAAACTAAAACGCTGTAATAATGTCGAAGATAATCAGAAAATAAATAGTTAGAGTGGGCTGATATTTTCTATAGCTGCGGTGAAAAACGTTTAAAAGAAAAATCAACAGAAAGTGTCCAATAATATAATCTAACACAGAAATATCAAATTAAGTATTAACACCGGGAGATTATGTAAAAAGTCCTACAGAAATAAATCCACGAGAGTATGGATAATACTTGTACTATAATACATTTTTTACTCACATGGCCGTTCCGGTGTGCTGTAGAGCTTCGAATGAAGACTGTCATTGTTTGGTTGTGTACGCAAATTTCGTTGCCGTTGGTAGAATCGAGCATAGGTTGCTCCTTGTAGAGTTAAGAGAGTTTCGGTGAACTATTTGAACTCAGAGTGGAATGAAACTTTACTGTTTGGCTGTGTCTTATTACTGTCTTGTGTTCGCATGATCCCTGCAGTTGTTAGTGGATGTTGTTCATTGTTCAGCTGCGAGTGTACTGATGTATTTTGTGATACGCACTTGTATTTAAAGGCATGGTGATTGCGTCGATGCGTCGAGCAGGTGCCGCCCATAGTCGTCTGTGATTTGGCGTTGCGCGGTGTAGGTACCGCCCATAGTTGTCTGCCATTGGGTGTTGCGCTCAGTTTAACCTGACGTCACGGACGCTGCGTGTTGCCGTACGGTGTTGTGGTTACGTGTTGCTACGCCCTTAGTTTTTGATTAGGCCATGCATGATGTGCTTTTTATGCACCATCTGTTTTTATAAATTAATAATGAAGACCTTTTTACAAAATAAATTAAGTAACATTTGTAATTAAAAGTTATTTAATAATTTAGTTAACAAACGGATATGTTTATTTGTATAGAAATAATTTCAAACAATGTAAACAAATTATTGAGATAGAATAAATTTATTGTTAGTTTAATTGAACTTTTTCCTGATATCACATCTTCATTAGGCTTAAGTCTTGTAAATTACTAGTTTTTTGTTTTTAACTTGGTTTTAATATCGTTTAAATTTGAACTATTTACATTCTCACCCTCAACTCCGCAAACATTCCAGGTAATCCACCGAGAAGATTAAAGAGACGCTGGTGTCGTGATTTAGTTAGTTAAATTTGTTTCTTACTTCAATAATCAAATAATATCGAGAAAAAAACACATACTTAAGTATGTAAAATGTACATAATCAAAAATAACCTTAAATATCATGTCGAGTGTTACTGCTGGGTTGCTACTCACCTCACGCACTCGATAACCATTGTATAATTTCAGCTTATATGCTTATTGTAAATATTATTACAGATTGTG